GCCCGCGTGGAACATGCTCCTCAGGTTGAGTGGAAGTCAATTGGTTGCCCTCACTCTCGTGACTGGATTGGTCTCAGCCGTCAACGTGGATCTACAAGTGTGCTTATACCCCCCTTGCTCCGACTGATCTGGCATTCCCTTCGCTTAGAGCGAGCGTGAACCCGTCACATTGCCCCTTTTCTGTATCCCTGTTCCTTTCGCGTGCAGACGCGAAGTGGATAACCCACTTAATCACTTGGTGCGTGTACGCGGTAGGAAGTTGAGGAACATCAAGCACGAAAGTCACGTCATATTGCCTGATTTCCTTCGTGTAGGTCAGTGCCATTTAATCGCACAGGGGTGCTGGGCCATGCACCCGAGCCCCCCTGGACCTTGTCTGGTGGAAAAAAAATGGCGGGAGGGCCCCCATTTTTTATTCAACGGGAATTCAATGGGTGTTCAACGGGGGTGTGGGGGAATTAAACGGCTTTCAACGACCGTTTAATTCCTCAGCCCGCGTGGAACATGCTCCTCAGGTTGAGTGGAAGTCAATTGGTTGCCCTCACTCTCGTGACTGGATTGGTCTCAGCCGTCAACGTGGATCTACGAGTGTGCTTATACCCCCCTTGCTCCGACTGATCCGGCATTCCCTTCGCTTAGAGCGAGCGTGAACCCGTCACATTGCCCCTTTTCTGTATCCCTGTTCCTTTCGCGCGCAGACGCGAAGTGGATAACCCACTTAATCACTTGGTGCGTGTACGCGGTAGGAAGTTGAGAAACATCAAGCACGAAAGTCACGTCGTATTGCCTGATTTCCTTCGTGTAGGTCAGTGCCATTTGTTGTGAAGTGATAATTTTGTTTGGGTTGTCGTTATCACTGTCTTTCTCGCAATGCTATCAAGTGTCGGGCGGTAGGAACTAGGATTGGAACTGAAACTGCATGGAGTCGAGGTTTGCCATTTTGAGTGTAAGTGCGGGTAATTGCCCATGCTCGAACCTCATATCGATCCGCCATAGCTGCCTCCCTGACTTCCCGGTTGCAAACAAAGACTGAGTCTACTGCGACGCAGATATTAGAAGGAGGCTATTGCAGACCAATCGGGTTCACCAATAACCCATCGAAAGTGTGCCACATACGCAGGGAGGGATTTGTGTTGATTGATCGGTATGATGCGCCCCGGCTGACTCTGCCATATTTTGATCTCACTGTGCTGCCCTGCTCTGCTGCGCATTCCACATGAAATCGGCAGTTCAACTGCAGCTGGTGCGAGCTCAAAAATCCATGTTGCTGGCGAGATGGTGCTGGGGTACCAGGGGTCCATTCGGTTCCCGGATCTCTCCAGCAACGTCCATGTGCTTCCAGCTGGCTTCCAGGTCCTGGTCCCTCCGCGCCAACCGCTGTCAGATAGCGAAGAGTCTGACCGGTCTGACAATCGGATTAACCCAATCCGATGGACTCCGAAGTTCCTTTTTCTTTGTCCCTCACAAAAGAGTGGCATGAATGTAGTGTAGATCAGGTCCTCCTCATTTCTTTTGGATTGTTAGCGCCTTCTTTGTTGCCGGATTTATGTCTTCTTCGGAGATATGCCTGCCGACAAGAGAAACTTTGAAATTTATTTATTCGGTGGCTTTCTCTCCCTTTTCTCAATTTTGTCACTGCCCTTGTCAATTGTGTTTTCCAGAAGTATTCTGGGACTAAGGCGAGAACCCCAGCTTCGCCCAGGCGGTTCAATCCCCCGCTCAAGATCCTCTGTCACGCCCCACCTACTTGATCGGCTTCTCACGGGTAGGAGACGCTACTTGGGGCATGAGGTCGCGTATCACAGACCTTCCTTACGCCCTAGGTGTGGTGGAAATCTTCTTGCACAAGGTCCAAACGTACCACTTCATTCTTGTTCTGGTGGTTCTTGCCAACCACCTTAGGATCCTCTGGTTGGGACCCTCCTTCACCACCACCTTTTCCTTGTGGCCCTCCCTGCATTGCCATCATCATCCTGCATTTCTTCTGCAGGACCTAACTCTCCTTCTCCTCCCCCGAAGGACACAAAGACATTGTCCCTGGTCCAAACATTGTTGAAGACCTCTTTCCCTTTAAAGTTTAAGAACATATTACCCTTTTCGAGTTCAAAGGCGACAGGGAGATGGTGCAGTCGCTTTAGTGCTGCTGATTCTTTGGCTCGCCCAATACACTTCCAATAAGTTAAACCTTCCTGGCCCATCTTTGCGCATTGCAACGAGCTACCGATAACGATGAGGAGAGCGGTTCCAATTCCAAGGCCTGATTACCACTGTTGGAGGTCTTTCCTATCCCTCCCCCTCCTTAATTCTCTTCTGCATCTCCTCTACTCTTTTATCCCCCTCCTTCTCCGATTTTCTGCTCTCCTCTTTGTAGCCTGCATCCCCTAGCTGTATTGTTTTTTCCCCACTTCACTACACACTGCACCAAAATCCAAGGGGAAACAGAAAACGGTACTGAGGTTCGGGAAGTACACAAAAGGCCAAAATAGCGAACATGGGATAGACTTCGATTTTGAGACACCAGTGCAACAGTCAGCCTGGACGGGCCCTGCTCCACAACCCCCTAGATTTAGACTTACCCTTCATATAGACTTCTAAACCCGCAAGCTCTACTGCACATGACACAACATTAATCTACATAACGGCATTAACGCTGATTTAGCCCGAAGTGACTCAACTACCGGATTATGAAAGATTACCATTGACTGGCCAGAGGCAATTTAAAGATAGCCCGGAGGTCTTCAAGAATTCTTTGCTGATGCAATCACGACAACGAGGTCGGGCGGTGTCTCCTCTTCCTTAAACAACCTGTACCTCATCCAGCCAAAATCCCAACGCGGCCGTAAACGCGGCATACCGGTCCCTGGACGGTCTGAACTGCATAGCTGGGCGAGGTACTGGTGGTTTAACATCAACACCCGTGCACGCATGGTTTACTTGCACCCTGGTCAGTACCAGTCCTTAGCCTAGACAGGTTGCTTAAACCACCAGTTCACCCATACCTATTTTGATGAACCTAAACTTTCATTTTGGCAAGTCTCTAACAAACCGGTACAGGCCTCTGCAACAATAAAAGTGGTACCAGACTACCAGTACCAGACTTGTGTCTGGTTATCGCAGGTAGACCTGAGGTTCTCAAAATTGGCCTTTATTCAAGTTTATTCAACTTTATTGTTCATTTCCAGCCTTTTATTTTTCTTTTCGTGTCAACTTTTTAATTTTTGTTTTTCACTCAGGGTGCAGTACCCCTTGTGTAACAGTTATTTTTCTTTTTTCACTCAGGGTACAGTACCTCTTTGACACGAAGTTGTTGCCCGACCCCACTGTTCTCCAATGAGACTTCCACTGATGTGTTACAGATGGACACGCTCTTTTATGCTGCTGCTGCCACCATCGCCATGATCGGCGAAAACATGGTGGCAGTGGCAGTGACAGTATATACAAAGCGCGCCGGCGCCAAGATGGATGAAGATATACCTGCCCGTTCAGCTGTGCACACACACACACACACACACACACACACGCACCTGCACACACAACACACTCCTCATTCATTGAAGAAAGTCCCACTGTACAGTCTGACGTGTGTGTGAGCCTGTGTCTCACACACAGACACATACACACACTAGACTATAGTGGGACTTCTATCAACAAAGGAGTGTCTCTGTTCGCATGTGTGTGTGTGTGCGTGAGTTTCATGTTTGCTATACACAACTCCACAAACATTAGGGGTTGACGGGTGAGTTGGGACATGTGTCTGACTATTAGGGGTTGACTATTCAAGACTGTTTCATCGGAATTTCAACAACTCATTAGGGGTTGACAGGTGAGTTGGGACGTGTGTCTATGTGTGTTGTCATGTTCACTTGTGCCGTCGAGACAGTCTCTGCATAGCAATCATGACAACACACACACACACACACACACACACACACACACACACACACACCGTTCCTGTTGGCAATTTGGCATGAACTCGCCCTAAGAAGATACCCCGACAAAATCTTTCTTACACGCAATAGAAACTGTCAAAGCGTCTCTCTCTCTCTCTGTGTGTGTGTGTGTGTGTGTCTGTCTGTCTGTGTGTGTGTGTGTGTGTGTGTCCGACTCACCTGCTCAGCTTTGTTCCTCTGACCTCCTTTTGTTCACTATGTGGCTTGAACTCGGTACCTTGTCGTTGTAAAAAAAGATTTTCCTCACCTAAATTCGAATGCACAATGTACAAAGAACCAAGACCTGCTGATTTATGGATAGAAATAAGCCCCTATGCATTCCTTTCTCTAGGTAGGACCTGGACCCATAGAAGAATTAGACTGATATTCCATTCGTACCTCACGTATCTAGGCAACTTTCTAAACTCTATTCCTGCATAACTTTCAACCTGGGACCAGATCTAGTCTTCGAACGTTTTTCCGAAACTCAGCCTTGTGGAGTTCAACTAGAGCTAGTACCCACAAAGCTACCGCAATCATATCAACGCAGTGTGACAGGTTTCACTGGCCTGGGATCATCGTTTTGCAGTTCTTCGTCGCCATCTTCATGCTGGGCTGGCTCTGGCATCGCCATCGCGATACAGCGTAGTTGTTCTGAGAACGCACCGACATTTCCAAGATGGATTTCGTTTTTGTTTCACTACGGATGCAGTATTGGGCTCCCCGCTGCTGCTGGATCATCCATCCAGAATGGGACTCCACCCCTCTTCTTTCTCCCCCTCCCTCTAACCCTTTCTCCCAAAACCCTTCTTTCAATCCTCTCTCTCTCTCTCTCTCTCTCTCTCTCTCTCTCTCTCTCTCTCTCTCTCTCTCTCTCTCTCTCACACACACACACACACACACACAC